AGCATCAGCAGTTCCTACTATCTAAGTGAATCATTGGTTCCAATAGGAATCAACATCAAAACTGGAGTTAGGTTCTACAAGACATTACTGAACTGAGAACAATTAGAACATTAAACCTATACCTTCTAAATTGAAATACAGCACTTCAAATGTCTTCTTTCACTTACCAGTGTATGAATTCACTTAAAGTAAATGTAAAAATACCTGTACAATAAAAAAAGTGTTGAGTTTTTCCTGGTGGGCATCCCACAGGCCAGAGGAGAGCGTGCCCGTGAGGTGTAAGTTGTCAATGACCGTACAGGCCAAGGGAGAAGAGGCAGAGAGATCTGCTGAGTTCCATAGTCGCTGACGCATTGCCAGCCAGGGGATAAGTGGACTGCTGCTGAGGCTCTGACATCACTGACACTCTTGGGCTGGGAGGAAGAGGGACTGTCAAGTTCTTAAGTTGCTGGACTTGGGAGGGGCAGTGACTGCTATGTTGGTGGAAGCATCTGGCAACTCCAGTTGGCGATCTGGGGCATGGTGGGTACCTGTTGCAGATCTCAGGTAGCGATGCAGCACTGGGAGTAGCTGCAAGTCACATCAAAATAGTGCCAATCAGGTTAGGTAATGCTCAGTAAATGACATGACGAATCTTGTGATGCTCAACGAGATTTCTGATCCTAATAATATATCAATGTTAAAGCAAAACAATTCTAAACAGGATCACTTTAAATGCAGATTCCCTGCAGAAACATGTTGCCAAGTTTACAAGAAAAAGTATCTTTGAAATGTCATAACACAGTTAGAAATGTTTCTTTCTACTACAGGTTTGTGCCACTGCAAAACCTGAAGATCAGTAATGTATTAACATTAGGTCTAGAAACTCACGTCCGCACAGAACTTCCAGTCTGCATGTTTTAGTTTGAACATTTCAATCGAGAACAAAACCAGCAATTCAGAAGATGTCAATATTTAAGGCCTATTCTCATATGACAGCAAATTCCTGCCAGAAAAGTTCAACAAAGTTGAATGAATACGTTGACAAGAAATTATTTATATTAAATTATCTGTGTATATAAACGTCTTCTAAACATAGTCACAAACACTACTCTGGTTTGGCTTCTACTCTGTTAATGTACAAGTCCAGGTGAAAACTTCTGGAGCCCCTTCTTACAAAACCCAATTAATCACATTACGTCAATATTTGTCATTAAGTTTACATAACGCCTTTGCATTATAAACAGGGAGAACTTGGATGTGCTTAAAAACCTGGGCAGGCTAAGCTGTAAAATACCTTTATTAGAGTCATAGAGATGCACAGCACAGAAACACAACCTTTGGACAATGCAGACCAGATATCCTAAATTAATCAAATCCCATTAAACCCTCTCATCCTCTAAACCCTTTCTATTCATATACCCATCCAGAGCCTTTTAAATATTCTAATTGTACCAACCTCCACCACTTCCTCTGGCAGTTCATTCCATACACACACTACCCTTTGCGTGAAAAAGTTTCCCCTTACGTTCCTTTTAAATCTTTCCCCTCTCACCTTAAACCTATGCCCTCTAGTCCTGGACTCGTCTACCCTGAAAAAAGGACCTTAACTATTCACCACATAACTGCCCCTCATGATGTTATAAACTTCTATGAAAGGTCACCCCCTCAGCCTCCAACCTTCCAGGGAAAATAGCTCCAACTTAATCAGCCTCTCCCTATAGTTCAAACCCTCCAGCCCTGGCAACATCCTTGTAAATCTTTTCTGAACCCTTTCAAGTTTCACAACATCTTTCCTATAACAGGGAGACCAGAATTGAACACAGTATTCCAAAAGTGGCCTAAACAATGTGGTCTACAGCTAAAACATGACCTCCCAACTCCTATACTCAATTCACTGACCAATAAAGGTAAACGTACCAAATGCTTTCTTCACTAACCTGTCTACCTGCGATTCCACTTTCAAGGAACTATGAACCAGCACTCCAAGGACTCTTTGTTCAGCAACAATCCCAGGGACCCTACCATTAAGTGTATAAGTCCTCCCCGAATTGCAGCACCTCACATTTGCCACTCCTCAGCCCATCAGATCAAGGTCCCGTTGTATTCCATGGCAACCTTCTTCACTGCCCACTACACCACTAATTTTAGTGTCATCTGCAAACTTACTAACCATACCTCCTACATTCACATCCAAATCATTTATATAAATGACAAAAAGCAGTGAACCCAGCACCAGTCCTTGTGGCAGATCGCTAGTCACAAACCTCCTGCCTGAAAAGCAACCCCCCACCAACATCCTCTGTCTCCTATCTTCAAGCCAGTTACGTATTCAAATAGATAATTCTCCGTTAGTTAGAAGTGTAGAGATTACCAATTTGTTTGCCTCCCAACTTATGTCCTCTTTTACCTAGCCAAACTGTTTCCTGACTGTCCTACTTAAGGGTTGTCAGCTTATCTGCCAAACCAAAGTATTTGCTCTCCATTGTGCTCAGTCATTTTTTCAATTAACTATAATATCAATGAATAACCCTAGACCTTGAGTGCTTTCAAAAAAGAACTGCAGTTCTAATTTTAAGTCATCTCAGAAAACTTCTTATAATTCAAATTTATCTAGCATTAAAACAACATTTTAACAAAGTACGTGCAAAAAACAAAGAGAACTGACCTAACATTGCAGTTGCTGCCTTGAGAAATTCTTGCCCTTTTTGCAGTGCTTGCAGAATTGTCCATAATAGAGGAGTACGTTCCAACTGCAGATTGTGTTAACAAGTTGCTCTGACATTTTTGTGACACAGTATCAACCACCTTGTTTCTTTCATCGTTTTTCACAGTTTTTTGCATTGCTTCAATGTGAGCACATTTCTCCACTTTTTCAGGGTTCTCAGAAGTGCTGCACACAAGTTTTTAGTAGCACTTAATGTAAATTGATTCACTAATAGGACAATCACAAGACCTTAATGAAATCTTTATACTGCTTTGTTAGAACGTTATAAGTCAGTCAAAAAGTATGCTAGTTTCACTTGCTGTCTTTTTTAATTACACAAAATATGATGGATACATAAAATACAAAATGCCAACACTCCATAGTTAAAGTTACTGTGATTATCAGTCCATCCAATTGTATAGGTTGCTACTTTCTCTGCCTCCTTACAAAATGTAAGCGCAATGAAATCAAGATGACTCAACTTTGATGTTTAGACATTGCAGATTGCAGGTAGCAGAGTTCATAATTTTTAAAAAAAGAAACAGAATTAATCCTTATCTGAAAACCAATATGACAAACCAAGTACGGTTATTCTATTTGGCACTCAGAAGAAAGAAAGTAGCACAGAAAGGCAGTTTAAAAAACACAAAGAAATGTCAACGACAGCTTGGTAAGTTATTAAAACAACTGACCAAAGTTCATGAAATCTTGTCTGAGAATTAAATATTCTTCAAAGCCTCAGAAATAAACCTAGTTCACTTCCACAAGATAAACCTATCAGCTAACTCTCAATAGTTAATATTTTATTAGGAGTATTGAGCCTACAGTTTTTCTTGATTTTCGGATTTTCCACCAATTTATTAAACTAAGCTAAAATTCAATTTTTAATTGTGTACACTGGAGATGCTGGACTTCCTCATGGAGCTGCAGCATGGAGAAATGTGCGTTCAGTGCACTCAAAGGGTTGGGAGAGGTGACGGAATTAATGGTAAATGCGCATAAGTCAGAACTGCTTTGAGGTAACTGAAGAAAGTCATACACCTTAAAGACTACCATCTTAACATCGCACCCCTGCTAACACTTGTCCTCTGTGGGTGGAGTAGGGTGGGGGGAGGGGGGCATGCAGAGACAGGGTGGGGTCATGAACAATATCAGGAGCAGTGGCAAGAGTAGGTGAGAACAGAGCCAGGAATGCTGGTTTGGTGGAGCAATGGGGAGGAGATGTTGGTGAGTAGATGTGGCAGTGCCAATGGTGCTGGAGATATGCAGCAGTAAACGCTGCAGGAACTACTACGGGATTAGGGGGTTTGGGAAACTGGGACTGAAGGAGTTAGAAATGCAGGAGTCCTTGCACACTTCTGATTTAAAGGCCTGGGTTCCTGAAGCTTCCTTTACACCTGCTAAGAACAGTTCTAAATAATTCAGATAATTTACTGGGTAAATAGCATGCTGGCAGCCCTGGTTTCCATACTGATTACATTCACTGACTTTGGGGCGGGGCGGCGCGGCGGCTCAGTAGTTAGCACTGCTGCCTCACAGCACCAGGGACTCGGGTTCAATTCTACCCTCGGGCAACTGTCTGGAGCTTGCACATTCTCCCCATGTCTGCGTGTGTTTCCTCCGGGTGCTCCGGTTTCCTCCCACAGTTCAAAGATGTGCAGGTTGGTGGATTGGCCATGTTAAATTGCTCAGGGATGTGTAGATTAGGTGGGTTATAGGGGGATGGGTCTGGGTGGGATGCTCTGAGGGTCGGTGTGGGCTTGCTGGGCCGAAGGGCCTGTTTCCACACTGTAGGGATTCTATGACTCATACTGGAATGTCTGCACCCATGTACTTTATTGATCTCATTATTAAATTATAATCAGCCTGCAGGGTGCCCAACAACAACTTTGAAATTAGCACTGACAGTGTACCTACATTAGATGGACTTCAGCAGTTTGAGATGGTGGCTCAACACCACCTTCTCAAGGAAAATTAGTTTAACCCACGAAACTCACATCCCGTGAAAGAAAAGACAAAAAAAGATCAATTCTATGGGCATAAAAAAAATGATCAAAAAGCTTACTTGAAATCTGTCCAATTACCATTGAGGAACAAGGTTTTATAGTTATTCTTCACAGGACTACTAATTTATTAAAGCAAAATAAAAAAACTCAAGTGGCAATAATCGCTTAATGTACTTTGTGGAAGTTAGGAAGAATTGCAGATTAGGTGTACGGAGCAAACTGAGTTCATTTACATAAAACGTACCTTATTCTTTCCCAAGAATTAGAATCAATTCGGTGATCTTCTGCACTTGTGATACCATTCACAGTATATGCTAGTTTGACTTCCTGTGTAGCATTGGTATCCTGAATTTTGCCAGCAGGTTTCTGAAGATTACTTTCACTTTCTATCTGCTGTGCAGTGTGTAGAGAGTCATACTTTTCATCCTGCACAACTTTCAAATCAGGCCCAGTCTGAGTTGAAGCTCGCAGGGGGAAACTTAAAAACAAAAACAATTAGAGGATAATCTTGAAGAGTCAGATGTCAAGAATAGAGCAGATTTTCTCATGCAACAGATTTCATGAGATGTTGAACCAATTTTTTAGATGTGTTGCCATTGTTGGCCAATCTATAGCCCAAACTGGCTACAATTTAAAATATTTAGCAATAATGCGACAATAACCCATATGACTACAAAGACCTTTCTCAAAGACAGTGCAGATGGAATTAGATCTTAAAATATCAAAATCAATGTACTGTGTAAATATGAACACACAACACACGCATTTAACATCCATAATGAAGGGCTCAAATCCTAAACCCCAACAAGGGCTTACATTCTTGCAGCTGGAGCAGCTAAAAATAAAATATAATTTTTAGTAAAAGGACACCTGCAATAGGAACAATTCACTACTTACTCTCTCACCTTTACAAGCTTCCAACGTAGAAGGAGTGATGAAAAAAGCTTTGATGTAGTCTGAGCATTCATGACTGTTCAGAGCTTAGCTAAACTACTCCATGAACTAGAGCTGATAAATTTTGCAACAGGAAGCAGATAATTGAAGAGAAACCAGATCGCTGTTTAAAAAGCTGACTGATTAACTAACTTCCTCACAGCAGATGTGGTCATACTTCTACTGTAATTTACTGGTTAAATTTACCTTCCAAGTACTGTCAATAACAAAGATACTCATTATACTAGAATGCTCTTAGGTATACACGGTAGGTTACGTTCCATTAGGGTGTTGATTTTTAAACAAGTCAAACATGTCCATGAATTTAAATCTTAGGTCAGGTAGAAAGATAACGCTCTAGATTTTCTGATCACCAGTAAACTGAAAGTGCAATGCTTTTATTATACTCTCACCTGCCCATAATCGTTCAATAATTAATGAAATGCTGCATTCTGGATTAACACATGAAGCATCATCTTCAAATACTTCAAAACAGATTTGTTTTTATTCACCAATCTTTTGTTCAGTTTTGTTCGATTCTTACCCTCACCCCCAACCCCACAAACAACCCTTGCTCTTACACAAGTAACTTAGACATTCTTAAGGGTCTCAGTTGGAAAAAAATACAACTTACTTTACGTCTTGCAGTGTTTCAACATTAGAACAACGATCTTCAGTTCTATTGCATACAGATGGTGTAATTAGCTTTGAAGCTACAATAGTCCTCTCCCCTGTACAAGCTTGCTCTTGATGACTGTTTTTTAATTGTTGTATATTGGTGCCATATCTTTCACTTTCAAAATCTGCTTCAATTGCAACTGAAGACTGTGGGGAGAAACTTTTAAAAAAAGGTACTCTTGTAGAGCTGTTAACGCAGACCACATTCCTTAAACAAATGCAGTAGAATGCCTCGGACAGGTGCTAAAGATTCATTAAAGAGAGTAATGTAAGAAACACAACCAAAATAGTAACTGCTTTAATTGCACACCCCTTGCACATTTAGATTCAAAGGAATTCAAATCCATCCAGATTTCACCACCTTATTCTTGCACAACCACCCAACCACAACGAGTTTACGTGATTTTTTCCCTCTCAATAATGCCACCCAAATATCAATGTTGGATTACAGATTTGGCATTTATTTTTACCACAGTAAGTTTCTGAAAGACTGCGGACTGGCACTTGAATGCACATTAGAAACTGGATGCAGATGAGATTTTGCGGATTTCCACAGCTTCATGCTCTTCACTATTCATAATTATTAGAAGTAGCATTCTGAATCCATGTGGAGCATCTAAGTGTTGCCATATTGATCAACCAATGTATCAAAGATGGTATACATCAGCATATGGTTAGAGTAAAAAAAAAATCACTGCCTAAATGGGACACCCTTTAATTTTAAATGCTTCCCAAGTTCTAGTTTCTCCCACAGGAGAGAAAGATCCTTTCAGCATTCATCCTGTCTAACCCCTCAGGATCCTATGTGTTTCCATAAGGTCACAACATATCTTCAAAGGATGCAGCCCCACCCTGTCCAACCTTTCCTCACAAGATAACTCCCTCCCCATCCCAGATATCAACTAAGTTAATTTCTCTGAACTGCTTCTAATGCATATGGATCTTGTCTTAAATAAGGAGACCAAAATGTATGGAGTACTCCAATGCTCAAAAACAGCCATAATGAAACACCCCTACTTTTACATTCCGATCCACAGTATCCCCAGAGTGTGGGAACTGGCCATTCAGCCCAACAAAGTCCACACTGACCCTCTGAAGAGCATACCACGCAGACTCACTCCCCTACCCTATCCCTGTAACCCTGCATTTCCCATGGTTAATTCACCTAACCTAACCATTCCTGGACACTTTGGGCAATTTAGCATGGCCAATCCATCTAACCTGCACATCTTTGGAATGTGGGAGGAAACCAGAGCACCTGGAGGAAATCCATGTAGAAAGGGGAAGAACATGCAAACTCCACACAGTTGCCTCAGAGTGGATTTGAACCTGGATCCCTGGTGCTGTGAGGCAGCAGTGCTAGCCACTGAGCCACCGCACTGCCCCATGCAATAAATCACAAAATATTGATTGATTTGCGGATCTGTTTGTATATTGTACAGTAATTTTCTTGTGATTCATAAACCAGGACACCCACATCCTCTGTACCTCTGATTACTGCAATTTCCATCCATTTAGATAATGGCCTAGATTTTCCAATCAGGATTGGAAACTTTTTACATCCTGGACTCAAATCTACCTTTGAAATGGAGCTGTTAAATGAATTCCTTTTACTTGATGTGTTAGTTATGAAATCTACCGTGGATTCTCTTACTACCATGTACCACAAGCCTACCTTCACTGGACAATATATGCACTGAGATCCCTACAGTTCTACACAATATAAGATTGCCATTATCAGAAGCTTCATAATTAGGATTCAAGCCATTTGCTCACTGTACAAATTTGATGCTGAAATAGCACACATCAAAGCCATCCTGTGGAGGTAGTGGCTATCCTTATCAGAGAATTTCTCACCGTAAATGGTACTACAGAGCCTAAGGCCACACTTCCAGTCCTGAAAAATACTTTCGCCTCATGTGGTATCTCAAAATTTGAGCAACTAGCAAACATTCAGTAACATATGAATGATGTTCACCACTAACAGGATACTGCCATCAAACCAAAATAACTTTGTCAGTCATGCAAATGAGTAATGTGATTTATGAAGTTCAGTGCCAGTGTGATCCTACGTAGGTAGGCTGTGTCCCTTTAAGACTAGCAGATTGCATTAAACAGCATGTTACTTCAAGTGTTCATAACATGCAAGATATTGACTGCACCAAATCAGTCCATGTTCACAAAAATTCTAAACACAGTGTCCAACATTAAATGGGATTCTGCAGTTGGTTAACACTGTAAATACTCCTGATTTTGCTCAGAATGTGGGTGACAACCAACTTAAGAATGTCAGCCGAGAGGCCCTTTGCCCCTCCAATTCTGCACTGACACATTTTGCCCTTCCATACCAAAACTGTTTTCACTTACAGGATCCATATTCATCTTCCTATTCATGTTTTCGTCTAGGTGCTTCTTGAATGCTGCTACTGTCTCCAATTCCCCCACTTCCTCCGGCAGCATGTTCCAGGCACTCACCACCATTTGTGAGAAAAACCTGTCTCATACATCTCTTTTAAACTTCTCCCCACTGTACCTTGAACCTGTGTCCCTCAGTAATTGACCCCTCCAGCCTGGGAAAAAGCCTCATACTTTCCACTCTATCCATGCCATTCAGAATCTTATAAACTTCTATCATGTCACCCCTCAACCTCCTGCATTCCAGTGAAAACAAATCCAATCTATCCAACCGTTCTTGAGAACTGAAATCCCGCATACAAGGTAACATCTTGGTAAAGCATCCACATCCTTCTGGTAGTGTGGTGACCAGAACTGTGTGCAATATTCCAAGTGTGATCTAGCTAAAGTTCTATAAACTACAGCATAACTTGTCTATCCTTATACTCAATGCCCCTTCCAATGAAGGTAAGCATGCCATAGGCCTTTTTTTACTACTTTATCTACCTGCACTGCCACCATCAGTGATCTGTGGACCTCTGACAATCTTCCTCAGTATTCACAACTCCACCTATTTTTGTATCGTCCGCCAGCTTACTAATTAGATCAGGCGGAGGCCTGATATAGGGGAGGTGATGGCCTAGGGGTATTATCGCTGGACTGTTAATCCAGAAACCCAGATAATGCTCTAGGGACCTGGGTTCGAATCCCACCATGGCAGATGGTGGAATTTGAATTCTATAAATATCTGGAATTAACAATCTAGTGATGACCATGAATCCATTGTCAATTGTCAGGAAAAACCCATCTGGTTCATTAATATCCTTTAGGGAAGGAAACTGCCATTCTTACTTAGACTGGCCTACATGTGACTACAGATCCACAGCAATGTGGTTGACTCTTAACTGCCCTCTGGGAATTAGGGATGTGCAATAAATGCTGCATGGCCAGTAATGCCCTCATCCCATGAATGAATAAAGACAAAAAAAAGGCACATCTTCCTCCAAATCACACTATAACCACAAACAGCAGAGGTCCCAGCACTGATTCCTGTGGAACACCACTAGTCACAGCCCTCCATTCTGAAAACACAGCCTTCCATCTGCCCCCTATGACTAAGCCAGTACTGTATCCATCTTGCCAGCTCATCCCTGATAGCATGTGACTTCACCTTTTGTACTCTGTCATGAGGGACCTTGTCAAAGGCTTTATTGAAGTTCATATAGACAACATCAATCACTTATCCCTCAATCATCTTTGTCACCACCTCAAAAAACTCAAGCAAGTTAGTGAGGCATGAACTCCCCCGCACAAAACCACGCTGTCTATTGCTATTAAGTCCATTTGCTTCTAAATGCATATGGATCTTGTCCCTGAGAATCTTTTCCAATAATTTCCCTATCAACGTGAGGCTCAGAGGCTTGTAATTTCCTGGATTATCCCTGCTACCCTTCCTAAACAATGGGACAACACTGGCTATTCTCTAGTCTTCTGGGACCTCACCTATGGGTATACTACAGGCCTCCCAATAGCCAGGAGATAGAGGAGAGAATATGTAGACAGATTTTGGAAAGATGTAAAAACAGCAGCATGGTTACAGTGGGCGATTTTAACTTTCCCCTGTACTGACTGGGACTCACTTTGTGCTATGGGCTTGGAGGGGGCAGAATTTGTAAGGACCATTCAGGAGGGATTCTTGACACAGCATGTAAACATCCAACCAGGGAAGGGGTTATACTGGACCTGGCTTTGGGAAATGAGCCCGGCCAGGTGTGAAGTTTCAGTGGGGGAGCATTTTGGGAGCAGTGACCATAATACCCTGAGTTTTAAAATACTCGTGGATAGGGATAACAGCAGTCCTCAGGTGAAGATGTTAAATTTGGAGAAGGCGAACCATAACAATATTAGGCAGGAATTGGAAATGTTGATTGGAGGAGATGGTTTGAGGGTAAATCCACATTGGACACGTGGGAGTATTTCAAATAGCAGTTGATAAGAGTTCAGGAGCGGCACTTTCCTGCAAGAATGAAGGATAGGTATGGCAAGTTATGTGAACCTAGGATGACCAGGGATGTTATTAACTACGTCAGAAAGAAAAAGGAAGCATATGTAAGGTATAGGAGGATGGGAACTGATGAAGCCCTTGAAGTATATAAACAAAGTAGGAAAGGCCTCAAAAAAAGAATTAGAAGGGCTAAAAAGAGTCATGAAAAATCATTAGAAAACAGGATAAAAATGCAAGACGGTAGCCAGGGAAAGGCTTGGCCCACTCAAGGACAAAATCTATTTGTTAAGCCAGAAGAGTTGGGCGAGGTCCTAAATGAATACTGTGTGCTGGTATTCACCAAACAGAAGGAATTGGTGGAGGATGATTTCTGGGAAGGGAATGTTGAATTTCTAAGCAAAGTTGATATCAAAAAGGAAGAAGTGTTGTGCGTCTTAAAAAATATTAAGGTAGATAAGGCTCTGGATCCCGGTGGGATCTGTCCCACAATATTGAGGGAGGCAACAGAACAAATTGCTGCTGCACTGACAGACATCCCAACATTGCAGGGTGGCACAACTGCATGCACTGGAAGCTACATATATTAGAAGACAGAGCCCTGTTCTTTGCAGATAGAAAGACACAGTATTCTCATATAACATAAAAATTTTATTTCCCTTTAAGTTGGTATTCTTGCAAATTGTCCTGATAAATACAAGATGAAAAGCTTTGATAAAAAGTGACTTTTTCGGTCAAGCTCTGTTCAACCAAACATCCATTAA